TCTCATTGATGATTGATAAATCCTATCAACCGAAGTTGTGCTATCATTACTATCTCGACGAAAATATGGAGATTTGTATACCGAAGGTTGTGGAATAAGACAGTGTGACTTGGTATGAGTATCTAAGGTGAATGGGTATTTATCGTTCTCAAAAACTGGTGTCTTTTCAAAGTTACACATGTTTTTACGAAACAACTTCGACTGTAAGGATTTCAACTATAAAAAGCGAATTGAAATTGAAATCAAAAGATATTTGGAAGGTAGGTGCTGTGGCACTTGTCGGTTTTTGCAACAATTCGATGAGAAGAGAAAATGATTTAAATTCATCTTTATATAAAAATTTTTCCCGGTATAATATCCTATTTTTATTTACAATCTGTTTACAAATCTAAAAATGATTATTTACATGAATTTTATTGTTCATGAGTTATTGGATTGTTTAATACAGGTTATTATCCTCGTTAAAAAAAAAAAAAAATATATATATATATACACATATTTATTTTTACAGTTTTACCGAGTTTAACGGTAAACATATTAAGAATTTCTCTATACTTTTTTGATATATGCATACTACTAAATAGGTCATTTTGATCTCCGAGTATAATATTAAGCTACTATTCTTGATATTATTCTACATATATAATAGAATTATTGTACTTATATAATTATATCACATACCTGTCCTGTAAATGCATCCAAATAAGCGAAGCATAACCGAATTATGATTTCCATTGATTTCCATCTAGGTCGGATAGCACTCTTTGACAAAAAAATAAAAGAATGAGATCTTCTTTACTTTTAAATGTCCCTCTTAACCTAGAAAGAAATTAAATACGTATAAGAAAGGCATTCATTGTCACTATTATTAATTTATTATTATTTATTATAAATTATTTTATTTTATATATTATTTTATTCTACGTATACCTTATAAGTAGGGTTCTGGGTTCTTGTTAAATTTACTTTTTCTAATATTCTTACACAAATTAATGACAATCAAAATACACTGCATAATCTCGCACAATGTTAACATAAAAGTTAAAAAGTTATCCATAACGCGTGTTTAACAAAAGAAAAAGTCAATGTATCCGCAAAAGGGTTAAAAATTAGGCAATAAATCAGGCAAAGATTAACTTAAGATGGGATGCTTTTACTATGTTCTAAATTTTATTTCTCGAATTCTATTGTGAATAAAAAGTTTAAAAAATATATATAATGAATTTTAAAACAAATACCTAAATTGGGTAATAAACAAAATTCATAATTGGTTTGAGAATAATAAAAAAAAGAAAGAATTCTCGATTGTTCGAAACAAAACCTGTTTTTTTTTATCCATTTCGATAATGAATCAATTGTCTCAATTAGGTTACTATTAGGTTGATTGAAATGTAACACGAATTAATGCCCGATTTAGAAATGAATCAGGTTTTGCTGCAACAAATATTTACAATAACAATACTTTTGCGATAATTGGTCGAAATTTTAAATTATCAAGAATATATATATAATTTCCGAGTTTATAATAATAAAAAAAGTCTTTCGTACGTACGTGCGTACATGAATGTGTTCAAGTAAAAAGTTTACACCTATCGTTGACCTATCGTTGATTCTTGTCATTAACCGTTATTCCTAACCAATCATATATAATGAAATTGGTGCCTGTTCTACGGATAATAGGCAGGATAATAGGCAAGATAATCAAGGGCAATGCCAAGCAAGG